TCAGAGAAGAATGCTATTTGCAACAACTGCAAAAACCCGGAATATGTAACATTACTTTTCTTCTAAGAAATATACAACAGAGAGAGAGCTAAAAATGAGAACCCTGTTTTCTCCACACAAAAAAATGAGAACCCTGAAGAGGATGAAGGGGGGGGGGGGGGGGGGGGGGGGGGTAAAGATCAAGTGGTTCTTTCAGATGTATATTCAGCTTTCTTTACAATGAAAATGGAATGGGAAAACATGCTTATTTATTATACCTTATTAGTTGATACACAAACTGGTGATACTGAGTAGAGTACTGAGTGATGTCTCTAATGTGCATTTTTTTTTTCTTTGGTTATTTTGTTCTCACATGTAACGTATGCAAAGTCAAAATTTGTACGAAAATGAGGTTAACGTGGAAAACAAAATGTGATTGAGAACAATTTGTCAAACACATTCTGACAGTAGGTACCGATTTATACCTTAATATTAATGTTGTTACCTTCGTTCTATTGACAGAGTTTCTTCTTCATTTAAATGGATGAGCATGACATGCACCGAACTTTGTATGATTGCCTAATTATTATCGTTTTGCAATCACACAAGGCTTACCTCTATGTGAGAAACCTCTTTGTGTATGAACACCCTTCCCGTAGTACTGATCTCCTATGAGTCACGATCCCTTATCCTTGTAGCAAACCTTAGACTATTATAGAGGGGGAAGAGAAAATGTCTGGAAGCTCTTTTTTTCGGATATGGACTTACCTACCTCAATACTCAATAATTATGATTTATCCTTTTAGCAAAGCTTCTAGACTATTCTTAAGTAGGAAGAGAAAGTGTGTCGACTCTCTCTTTTTCAGATCTGAACTTACCTCGATAATTATGACTCCTCAATAATTATGACTTATATTTGTAGCAAACCTTCTAGACTATTCTCAAGTGGGAAGAGAAAGTGTGCGGACTCTTTTTTTTTCAGATATGGACTTACCTCAATAATTATGACTTATCCTTCTAGAAAACCTTCTAGACTATTCTTAGGTGGAAAGAGAAAGTGTGTAGACTCTATTTTTTTCGGAAGTGGATCCTCTTATGTGAAAAAGTGATTATGTGATCATGTTATTTGATCACAACCACTCATTTAAAAATTATATACTTTTCTCTCTCTTATTTCATCATCAATGAATGATTATGATCAAATAACATGACCACTTTTTTACATGAGAGTATCCACTCCTATAATTATGACTCCTCAATAATTATAACTAGAGGGTATGACTAAAGTTGTGATATATATATATATATATATATATATATATATGGGTACCAAAAAAATACTAACCCTAGACTTCTTAAACTTTTTTCATACACTGAACCCAAATATGTTTCAAGTAAAAGAGCATAAAACCACCAATTTATACCTTATTAGTTGATACACAAATTGTTTATACTGAGTGATGTCTCTAATGTGCATTTTTTTTTTTTTTGTTATTGTGTTCCACGTGTAACGTACACAAAGTCAAAATTTGTTCGGTAATGAGGTTACATGGAAAACACGTTCTGAGAACAATTTATGATACCGTAATATTAATTGGGACAGTAGGTACCGATATATACCGTAATATTAATGTTGCTACCTTAGTTATATTGACAGTGTTTAAATGGATATGCATGACATGGCACCGAACTTTGTTTATGATGCTGAAACTGAAGATTGGATGTTCGTTGAGAGTTGAAATTTGAACCCTCCTCTTGTCAACCTCGTTAAGAGACTAAGAGAGTAGTTTTCAAGCAAATTACCGTAGACTTTTTTTTTTTTTCAATTCTTACATAAATTGCAATCTAGAATAAATAAGAAGCCCAAAAGATTTTATCATAAAGAAAACTCATTTATGAAGTATCTTAGTAATTCTCTCAAAGTCAACAAAGGTTCTTAGGCCACTTACTTTCGAACCAATTTGCAAGGACAACCCCTGAAGCTGCAAGAAAGATATTTTCTTCTACATGAAAAACCTGTTTGTCATAGGCTAAAGTTGCATCAAAACAATTGTGTGTGGAGGATCACATAATCAGTCCAAAAAAAAAATGGTTCTGATCAAATGAAACTATAAAAATTTGTTAGTTATATTGTATCCACTTTAAATGTAAACTTTTATTTTATTTTATTTTATTTTTAGAAGAATTGTAAAATGTAAACTTGTATATATTACTTATAAGTTATAATATATATTTTTCCCTGTTCATGAGATTTGTCATTAATTTAATTTTTATATTATGTTTAAAATTTGGTATGTGTTTGAATTGGTTTAATTAAAAACAATAACAAATTTTCTACATTTTGCTTTTTGAGAGAGATCTTAAAATATTTTTTCCTAAGTTGTCGTCAGTACAGACAAGGAAATCTTTTTAAAGGGATATTTTGGAATTCTTATAATTTTAAAAATATCAAATATATCGTTAAAAAAAATTAACTTGATGATTAATTTGATGATATTGTTAAAAACATAAATTTCTCTTTACTTTTCAATTTTGGTAACTTTTGAAAGTAAAACAATAAAAGGAATGCTGATTAATCACTCAAAAAAAAATCTAAATTATAACACAATTCATAATGTTTACTAAAAACTCTAGCTTTTAAGCAATAGTTATGGACAATATCACTCAAAAATGGATAATATCATTCGAACATTTAAGTTTTTAAAAACTACAATCATGACGCTATTATTATGAAAATAAATTTGATATTTTTGAATTTTTATAAATTTAATCATGACGCTATTATTAATTTCAAAAATATCTCAATAATTCTCTCAAAAGTCAACAAAAGTTGCCTTGCATTTTAGCAAGCCACTTTTTACAAACTTCTTTGTAAAACTTATCTCAGGCCACTGAAAAGTTTGCTGCCTCACTGTTTGCAAGGATAGCCCCTAAAGCTGATCATCTCCTCCACTATAAAAACAAGTATTCTAATCACAAGAAAGACATTTTTTTTACATCAAAAACCTGTTTATTACGGGCTAAAGTTGCATCAAAGCACTTGTGTAAACGAGGATTACATGATCAACCCAAATAAAAATGGTTATGATCAAATGGAAACTAAATAAATTTGTTTTGTTACATTGTACCCACTTTCAATGTAAACTTTTATTTTATTTTATTTTTAGAAGAATTGTAAAATGTAAACTTTTATACATTACTTATAAGTTAATATATTTTAGTCCCTGTTCAAGAGATTTGTTATTAATTTAGTCTTTATATTATGTTTATGTGTTTGAATTGGTTTAATTAAAAAAATAACAAATTTTCTACATTTTGCTTTATGAGAGAAATCTTAAAATATTTTTTCCTAAAGTTGCCGTCTGTACAGACATGGAAATCTTTTTAAAGTGATATTTTGGAATTCTTGTAATTTTAAAAACATCAAATGTATCGTTAAAGTTGATTAACTTAGATGTTAATTTGATGATATTGTTAAAAACATAAATTTCTCTTCACTTTTCAATTTTGGTAACTTTTGAAAATAAAACAATAAAAGGAACGTTGATTAATCACTCAAAAAAAATCTAAATTATAACACAAAATTCATAATGTTTACTAAAAACTCTAACATTTAAGCAATAACTATGGACAATATCACTCAAAAATGATATCGAATATTTAAGTTTTTAGAAACTACAATCATGACGCTATTATTATGGAAATAAATTTGATTTTTTGAATTTTTATAAATTTTGAAAAAAATTGAATTAAATATTATTTGATTTAATAAATTTAATCTAAATTTTAAAAATAATAATAATTGTGTCATAATTTTAATTATTATTTACGATACTAATCAATATTTCGTGAAGTGGGGGATAAAAATGGGAGAAATAATGAATTTTGAAACAGGTGATCAAGAATTCAAGATGGTGCCATCGTGACATCCTTTTGATAAAAAAAAAATTGTAACTTTCATTTTTTTTTTTTGTAACATTCATTTTTATTTTATTTTTTTGGTAATCAACATTCATTTTTTTTATTTTATTTTTTGGTAAACATCAACATTCATTTTTTATTTGGTCATTATTCTTCACAATAATTGTCTATTAAATTTAAAATATGATAACGGCAACAAATGATATACCAGAATTTAAAACAGATTGTACACACAAAAAACTATATTTAAGAAATTTAATATATATTGGGAAAACAATATTTTTCCTTTTAAATGACATTGTGTCATTTTAAGTGAGAGAAAGACACAAACTAATATTTTTTTATTTAGAATTTAAATTAAAAAAAATCACTCACTTTCTTCCCCCTAATTTTCGTTACACGTGTCTTTCTCCTCACTTAAAATGACACAACTTTATATCTTTTAAAAAGATAAACATCAAATCCATAAATATTAAATTAAAAATGAGTGTTGCAAATAATAACAATAATATATTTAAACATAATGAAATAAAAAAAATAGTATAACTTTTAGAATAATTTTTCAAAGAAAAGAATCCTCTTACTGGGAAAAAAATTCAAGAGAGGAAGTGGTCAATTTGCTAGTCTAAAACATAGTTCTGCGAATAATAATAATAATAATAATAATAATCTGCCTAAAACAAAGAGAACCAACGCAGAAAAAAAATTAAAACAAAAAAATCAAAAACAACGGGGTAGTGAGTAGAGAACTTCTTTCTTTTGTTAAAACGGAAATATATGTAAAGTCTTAAAATAATGACATTTGTGAATGAAAAGTAGCAAACAAACAAAGAAACTAGACACCAAAGAAATCAAGAATGTGCAAAGGGATTTTGATATCAAGAAATCAAGAATGGTCACTGGGGTTTTCATACCAAGAAGCTCAATAAATTATGAATGGTCACAATCTCAATCTAGCGAAGTACAACCAGGCATGAGCTGCTAGAACATTAGTGGGGAACTAATCAGCAACAATTAGAGTATAAAGAATCAAAAGTTGCAAAGTAAAATCACAATTCACTTTATTATTCTGTATGTAATGTAAGTCAACTTCTCACACATAGTAATACATCCATCCAAACTCTTATACCTACTTCTCATGTATGTGTACAACAACTTCAGTCAGTAAAATTCTAAAGTGTCTACATCATTCTACATCAACTTGCTCTTTCTCATTTGCACCACCACCATTGATATCAGGAACTAGTTCAGTTTCACAAGACTTATATGGCAACCTCTCATATCTGAAAGTTGGCAGAAGCTTGTACTGCCCAAATGTCAAAATCTGACTCAGCTTCTCATAGCTCCATCTTTGTTGGATATACACCACAAATGCAAGAATAATTGCAGTCACAGGAATGGCAATATCCCCAGATTTTGAGTAAAAGTCCAAATTTGGATCAACAAATTCAGAGTCCACAGAAAAGTAAGGATTTGGAACTGGAGCTCGAATGTAATCATATATATGAGGAAGCAGTCTCACCAGAGTGATTCCAATAAAATATAGTTTTCTGAGTGGTTTACAATTGATATGCCAGATTAAGTTCCCAATAATTTGAGGAAACAAGAAAAAGTCTTGGACAAGACCAACATATTCTTCCAATTCTGTTGCCCAAACCGGCAGTGAATGAGAATTTTCTCTATCAGTCAAATATTTCTTTGCTTTAAGAGGGTTCTGACTTGTGTTTGTGCCATGAATTATTAGAATAATTACATACCCAATCAGATGCATGGTGAAGGTACAAAGAAGTACCCGTTTATCACTGGGGACACAAAGTGGCTCAAGAGGGGTACGCCTTTGCAATCTGATGCGTGATTTCCACACCTTCTGAAAAAGTCGCAGAGTTAGTAGCAATGAAACAATCAATAGCAGTTTCACAGTGGAATCAATGACATGGAACCATTCACTGTTCTCCAATTCAACAGATGATACATCATAAGATTCAGAAACCATTCTCTTGAAAAGAGCTTCTGCACCTGTTACCAGAGGAATGCTATAGCCAAGACCTTGAACACCGAGCAGAACAAGAGATATATATGGAAGAGTGTCCACATTATGGTTTATATAAAACAGTTGGCTTAAAATGCACCCAACTGCCAATGAAAGTGTCAAGATTCGGAGAATCCCTTCAACACTTCTGTGTGAGAGGACATCCTCACGTTGCTTCCTGTATACAAGTGGAAAAGTTTGGAGCTTTATTGCATTAAATCGAAGGGCGTCATCATCAGTCCTTTGACTTTCTATAGAAATTGTAGCTGTGGGATTGACTAGCCACCGAGCTGTAATTGGAGGATAAGCGATAACCACCTCAATCAAACAGTCCATTCCAGCCTCAAGATCATAGCTCTGATATAAGACCTTCCATGATGCTCGCACATCTCTACAACCAATTAAGTACATCTTTCCAACATGTGGATCATAAAGACCCTCCAGAAAAAGCACAGAAAAATTACTATAAGCTTTTCCAGTAAGACTGAGTTGTGCAGATACATTCATAAGAAGTTTCTTTTCTGTATAATCAGCAGCCTTCGGATGATATGGTGTTTCCTGTTCCCATGTTGAACCATTTTGAGCATACCAATAGCGCCCAAACAAGGGACCAACGGAGAGAATCTCCATCTGAATGTCAACTCTTGGGGCCTGGACTTTAGGCATAGGATCAGGAAAACCTGAGACATGAAAAGTGAGATCTTCCGAAAGAAGCGACAGACTATCATGGAATGCCTCATTATCTTCAAGTTTGGGGAATGTTAGCAATGATTTCTTAACCACAGTTGTAAAACTGAAGGGCTCATCTTTTTCCAGGACAGAGCCAGCCAAATTAGTTTTAGAGTATCTGTAACTCGGATGAGTCAATTTGAAATAATTCCAAAGCTCTGTAGGTAGCACAAGCTGCTCAAATGATAGAGGAAAGAAGGCATTGTTGTTATTGATGGGAGATAAGGTCCCCAAAATAATACTACGTTGCTTTATGGAAAAAGTGGTAGGTATATACAAACAAATCCGAGTATTACAGTTACTCCCTTTGGTATCAATAAATCCAAGGCAACCAACCATGCAAAGTTGTCCACTAGAAGGCTTCCAGATCCCTTCTGTGGCAAGCGACATGTTGCTGGGACCAGATCTCTTTGATGCAGTATACTGATTCTCTGATGGAGAAACTGCTCTAAAAACTGTAGATACTCTAGCAGAACCAGTATCACTTTTGATAGCTGCTTGCTCACAGATAACATCCTGCATATAAAGTTTAACATCTTGAAAGCCTCCGTCTGTTAATTTGATTTCCTTATCCGACAAAAAAGGGCCTAATCTACTGCAGAAATCATCTGTGCCATTGCATCTCCAGTTTGGCACAACATATAAAGGTTTCTCTCTAGTAATTTCTTCAAGGATTTCACAAAACCTTGCCCCTTTATAGACACTAATGCCATCATTCGTCAGGTTATCTTTATATGGATATGGATTGCATGCTTTGGATACAATATGTTGCGAGCCAAATGTGTACTTTGCCGACTTGCCCAACTGTGATGATATGTGAACCACATCAAAGTATTTAGGATTTGATTCGCGATTCAAACTTCTTAACTCTCCGGTGATCATCCTGTTTGTTAACGTGAATGTCATAGGATAGCGAAGAACTAGCAGAATTTGATCATCTTCTGACAGTGGTATCTCACCAGGAGTCTTCATCCATTCCCATGGATTGGCAGGATCAGCCTCCCGAGTTGGAAGCATAGTGTTCCCTAACAAACACAACACCCTTTCCCCACCATTTTTCTTTGATTCAGTGTAAACCCCTTGAAAGGGAATTGAAAGCTGAGAATGGCTAGGCCATAACAGAAATTCAGGATTCCCATCATATGCATTCTCCACAAAAGTACCATCTCGAGTAATGCCTATCACCATTAAACCATTGACAGGGACTGACTTCTTCAATCGATGGACATGATCAACATCTGTTACCCAAAAAGAGACCAACTTCAATGGAGTGTGGTCTTCAGACAAGGTCCCTGGAGATTTCCCAGCATCAAATGGCATTAAGGGAAACTTACCTTCATCCTGTTTCCAATCCCCATTGACAAAAGAAAGCTCTCCTTTCATACCAGTAAGCCCACTATATTCAGATCTCAATTCAGATGAAGCAGATAACACAGAGGCACATTGTTTCTGAACTTCACCAATTCGATCATACTTATAGGTTACATGAGAATTCCTTTCAAAACGATACATTCCCTCAGGGAAGTGTGAACTCCCAAGACATTGAATGACTAACAAGCCAAAGACAAACCAAAGAGCAATAGCTGAAAATGGAAACTTCATGATTCCAACCCACCAGAGTTCAATCACTCTTTCTTAAAAATTTTAGGAAACTAGGATATACCCATGTCAAGTTTCAATAAGAAATTGAGTTTCATTGCATCAACAACTACCAAAGGCATGGACTTGTAGCCAGTACACAAATCAACCACAGATCATCACACTCTCAAAGAAGATCTAAAAAGAAGAAGAAAAAAGTCATAAGAAGTCAAAAATTCAAGGTCCAGTTAGAAAGCGTGGAGGAAACAAGTGAGAAGAGACGAACCTGAATCGGACACAGATTAAAGTACCATTTTTTGCTGTAGTTAATGTTGGATGATGCTAACCCAGTTTGTGGGATTTTCAAGAGAGAGTGTTGTAGAAATGGACAATGATTTGGATTTGGAAATTAGGGGAAACAAGAGACACCAATGTAAGGTGAAGACTTGAAGTATAAGTAAAAGTTGCTCTGGTTGGTCTTTCAGATCCAAAGTATTTTGCTTCTTTTTTCATTTAATTAAAAATAATAATAATAATAATCCAAACACAATATGCTTCATCCTTTTAATATTTAATTTAGAAATTTAAGTGGGGTGTATTTAATCTCAAAGTTTGAAGAATGGGTAAGAATCATTTTACACCAGCGTAAGTTATACTCTCAATCTTGTCCGTTGATTTTACTTATATCCAAGAGCTCTAAATTTTTAGTAATATGAATCATTGGATACAAGTGAATCAATGGTCAAAATTAAGTGTAAAACTTATAATTCTTAAACTAGTGTAAGAATATTCTATGCGTGACCTGAACTACTACGCTAGTTTCTGAATTTATTTTACTGAAACATAATATGATTTTTCATTAAAAAAAAAGGGGTTATAAACAACCTTTACGCTTTTTTTCTTTTGAGAATAATGGCTTTTACTCTATCATGACTATATTTTAAATTCCATTTATTTAATTATTGATTATTATCAGTATAAAAAAAAAAATGTACATTTTCTTGCCGTAAGAAAAATGAAACATGCATGTTTAAAAATTAATGCGGAAAATATAATCAATTAACTTCTCTTGTTATTGCCATATATATTAATATCGAAGTGGTCCCTTTTAGTGGTTGTGGTGGAAGAGACTTTGCTTAACTTTTTAAATTAGTGTATGGATATAATGTCCATTTTTGAAACCTTGTTTTCTTAGAAGATGATTTGGAAAACACAACAAATCAATAATCATCATATCTTCTCAAACAAGTTAGGTGACTATTCACATTTCATATCCTACAACCTCTTCAGATTTAAAACAAAACTTTTCGATACCTATTTAATTAAAGTTTAGTTTACTCTTACCTGCTTCAATATATTAAAGTGTTTCATGTATTTTAAAAATGAATATATAATTAAAACTATTGATGAATAAGTAAATGAGAGATTTTTATTAATTTGTAATATTTGTCTCAATATGTATGTGCACTTCTACTTAAACTGTTAACTTTTTAATCAGCCTTGTGTTCATTCTCTAAAGTATAGTAAGTTTTGGAAGTAGTATTTTCTTCTTCTTCTTCATTTTAGATTTCTTGTGGTCACTACTATTTTTTATGGCGAAGCTAAAGCGCAACTAGTATTTGTCTTAATTTGGAAAAATTGTCAAGTTTATATTTAATTTAAATTTTTTAGTTAAATTAAATTGCTTCTAATATTATTATTTAATATTTTGTTTTCAGAACATCCTTTACTTGATAGATAAGAGATCATTCTCTTATGGCATGCTCATGAGGTACTAAGGTAGGAACCCCTCCTAAGTCCTAATAATTATTTTATATATATATATATATATGAGAAAAATATTTTTCAAACTGTTGTACGTATAACGGTCAAATACTTGCCATATATATATGTAATTTCTCAAACTGTTGTACGTATAGCGGTCAAATACTTGCCATATATATACGTAAAAGTATTAAATGTAAAGGATCATAATCATACATGTGTCAATATTGTTGTATATAAAGTGATTAATGTAGAACTGATTTTACCATATATAAATCTCAAAATCAAATTTGGAATCACATGGGTCCTTTTCAGTCAGAGCAACAATATATGTTAATAATAATTATTAAGGCTTTAATACTTCTTCTATGACCGCAGGAGAGAAATTTTGCAGCAGAATTCATTTACATCAGGATCTCTGCATATGGATCTTGGATTTTATTTTATTTTTAAAATGTCATTTCTCCCGTATATGGATCCTGATATAAATATGTTTTTTTGCAAAATTTGCCATCTCTAACGACATAAGAAGTGACGAACCTTTTATTTAATACTTAATATTTCATATATAAATAGGGATTTATAATCCTCTTGTAACAGGATATGTTATTAACACAGATTAAATGAGCTCCACCATTTTTTTAAAAACAAAAAAGGTGTTAGATCGATTTTTTTTTGTTTCCTGAAACATTATAGTCATTTCTCCCGTATAAATAACTTTCAAATTCAACTAATACTAGGTACATAAAAAAATTATGAAACTGGTCAAGTGGGTGTATATGGATCAAAGTTAAGGTTGATGGTTCAATTGCGTTGGATTTGGATAAGTTATACTTAGTAGCAGACTCAGAAAATATTATTTATGTCTGTACATTCTGTCTTTATTGTTAAGAAAATTTTTGAGTCATCACAGAACCATCTTACAAAACTTCTCTATACACAACATCATACCCTCCTTTCACAATCACATTTCATTGATCAAATCCACACGTTTCAGTCATGTGCATCCAAATTGGTCTACTGGTTACATTCAAGATGTGGTGGAGTTCTCGGAATAACACGGGTAGTGGATGATGGGATTTTCAAAAAAAAAACTTGAAAACTCTCTTGTAGTAGAGTTATGAGTTTTTTTTTTTAAGAATTTCAGCTAACTTGGCAACACGGTGTCATGTATGTTTGGTTGGAAGCTGATTTCCTCCCAACTCTCTTGTATGTTTGTGCTTCCGTAGTTTCAAAGAAGGGACGGATAACGGGAGAGGGATAAGGACTTAGGGTTGGCGGTCATCATCCTTAAATTTTAATTTTTTTTTTATTATTATAGGTATAAAATAATATTTCTTTTATAATAATAATTTACTAATCCTAACAATTAATTCCTCCTTAAAAACATTTGTAATTACTTTTTTTAATTCTAATAATATTTATAATTTTGATATTTTATTTTTGTCCCTTTCATAAAAATAAATGCATGATTCACAAGGACTGGATGATTGGTGGATATCATTCATACATACACACAATGAAATGTTGTAGCAAATTGGTTGGCGACACATACTTGGGCTACATAGGTGGGATCTCTGGCTGTTTGAACATCAGTTGGGAACAAATATTAAGTACTATCGTCACATTGAGTAGTTAGTGCTATATTTTAGAGAGTATATAATTATAATATTAAAAAAATTCTCTCTCTTCAAAAATTTATCAACTAATGTGCCACATTTCTACTAGTTTCTACTAGTGCGATGTATATCGGATGTGGTGCTCTTGCGTAGCGTTATATGATGGGCTTTAGCTTGCCCCGTCTGTTTAGTTAGTTTATTATTATTATTATTATTTCCTTTGACAGAAAAAAATTACAGATATTAATGTATTTAATTATCTAGCTTTTATTATTGTTTGATTCTTTGAACCATGCACCTTATGCAAAGTGTTGTAAAGCATGATAGAGGAGAACAGATACTCTTCATCTGACACACATGAAAAAATTCATACTAGATAATATATTCTCTATGGTGGAGAGGAGAGAATTTGAAAGAAAAGTAATGAAGAAAATCTAAAAATAGATAGAATGTTAAAGTCAATAAAATTAAGCAATAGTGTATTTTATATATTAGTAAAGATATAAATAATGATTTAGCTAATCATAATCACCTAACTAATCATCTTCTAGCTAAATTAATCGTCAATTAACCAAACTAGCAAATTAACCACTAATATGGTAATAAAAAGAGATATCTTCTTTCCTTTAAAAAATAGTAAATGATTCAACGGCAATAGTACAATGCTTAATAAATCAAATAAAACCATTACTCAGCAATCCAGTTTTTCGGGGGGATACATAATTCTTAGTTATACAAGTGTAAAATATTATAAAGTTAAAAGACATCTTTGATAAGAAATGTGTTATACGAACCATATGATGGTAGCCAGGAAATCATCAATTGATTCATCGCTTTACAATTAATTTGATTCGGGATGGATCTCGAAATTAAGATTTTAAATTTCTCCTAAAAATAATACTAAAAGGGATCGATTGAGCTACCATCATTTGATAAGACATTTGCTTTTTAATTCCTTTGAAATGTGAAAGAAAAATATAGCTCTTCAATGAGGCAGGCAATCTCGTACAGACCAAAATGGAGCTCAATAGCACTTTTCTTTTGATAAAGACCAAACTATAGACTTGGAAATATTATAAAGTTATTACCCTCCTTTGCACACAACATGTTTACATATATTACGGCTTCAGAGTTCATAGGTTCCTCCCAAATAAAGACATTCATTTTCTTTTAAGTATTTTTATATTAATTTAATGTGTGTTTGGACGTATTTGTGTATAAAATAACTAACAACTAAAGTATGTGAGTTCCACCCAATGACTAATACTTAAAAAAAAGCTCAGACCTTAAAAAAGGGAGTCCAGTCCAGAGTCCTTAAAGTGCGTCCATCCGAACACTGAATGATCATGTCTATAGACTATAAACCATGTTCCCCAGTCTACCGGCACACCAACATTGTTATTTGGCAAAAGTCCTTTATTCAAACGGATGAACTCTATCCATACTATAAATACATTTTGTAGTACACCCTATCTAAATCATAACACCAACACAAATACAGAAACAGTCCTTGCAAGGAGGAAGGTGGAAAAGACACGTACTTATGAAAATGAGAAGCTCCACATAATCACAACTTTGGTGATCACTTTCAGGACAATCACCAATTGGCACAAACAAATAGCTACTTCAATTTTTATACTCTGATCCAATTAAATTGTCTTAATTATCCAATTAAGCTAGTTTCCTCATCCACAGAAGATTTCCTCTTCTTGGATTTGGATAACCCAAAGCCACCACATTGAAGCTCCCTCAACTTGAGCAGAAGGTAGAGCACAATGCCAACAAAAAATCCCAAAGCAGCACTTGAACCTGTGAGAGAAACAGCAGCACAAACAAACATAACAAAAGACTCTTGTTTAGTGTTCATGTCCTTGGAAGCCATAGCTAACTCAATCCCAGCAAATAAAAGAAGCACCCCAAGAATCCCAATTGGGAACTGACCCAAGATTCTCCCAAAAGAGTTACCAAACACCAAAGCAAGAACCAACTTAGCAAGCCCAAGAAACACAACAGAAGCACCACTCCTACCCCCGAACCTATATTGGCCAGCCAAACCACCAGCACCATGGCAACAAGGCATGGCACCGAACCAACACCCAACAAAGTTCATAATCCCAACACTCACAGAAACCCTCATAGCCGAAGCTTCTCTATCAGGAAACAAGTCCCCCGACAACTTACAAACCGCAATAACCGAATTCAATATCGAAAGCGGAATTTGCGGAATCGCCGCACGAACAAACCCAATCTTCAGATCCTCCCAGGTAATTCGAACCACAGAAATCCTCGAAGGACCAAACCTAAGATCATTGAATATCGAAGGGTCGCGAAGAAAACACAACAACAACCCAAACAAGAACACTATAAGCGCTGCCGGTACCGTCGACAAAACCCTCAACCTCCGGCGAACACGGTTGCGCCGATCAACAACATCCTCATCTTCATCTTCTACTTCTTGTTGTTGTTGTTGTTCTGCTTGTGCTTCGCCTTCACGGTGATCGTCGACGCCGGCGCCGGTGGTGAGGACGAGAAAAAGTACGGCGGCGAGAGCGACGATGAGGCCATCGAGTCCGAGCCAGGGTCTCGGAGGACCCGATTTCGATTTGGCCAAGTCTTGTTCGTAGCGTATGTATTTGATGGCGGAGAAGGCGAAGGAGAGTCCCTGAGAGAGTTGAACGCCGCGAACGACGGGGAGAGGGAGGTAACGGTAGAGGAACGACATGAGTCCGGTGAAGCCGAGGAAGAGGAGCACGGCGGCGACGGAGAGTCCCGCGGCGGAGATTTGTGGGATGGTGAGTGGAGGAGACTCGGAGATAGCGACGGCGGCGATTGACTTCATGGGCTGAACCGGCATGGGGAGACCGAAGAGGAGGCCGGTGGCGATGTTGTAGAGTGCGGTGAAGGTAAGGGTGGTGGTTAAGTCAAGGTTGTTCACCAGAGATAGAGCCAACACTATGGGGATGTAGGTTCCTAAGTCGCCGACGGCGCCGGAGAGTTCCGACGAAAGAGTCGTTTTCAGTTTTATTGTGGACGGGAAGCGCCACCGGTTGCGGCGGAGGAGGAGGGGTGTGGTGTTGGACATTTCGCTTTGCTCGTTGGAGACGGAGTGTGCCATATCGGAAAAATAGGTTGCACTTTCAAATTTCAATGCTAATAAATATGAAATTATAAAGATTGGTATTTATATTATATAGTGATTAATCTGTGAGATATTGAAAGACTACTGAATTTATTCATTTATTTTATTTTTTATTTTATTTTTCATTAGTACCTCAGACAGTGCACACAGATTCAGATCGAATTGTTTTTCTGTTCATTTCAATTTCTTGATTTAAGGATAGAATGGAATCTAGATTTTTTTTTTCTTCCGTGTAATACAGCTAGTGTTTGCTACGCAAGGGACTTGAATATCAACGTTAGTACTTTTTATTGTCCAATTGGCTCTTTTGTTGCATTGCATTGCGTGTTATTTACTCGGTTACTATTTTTTTTTTTTTTTAAATTAGATCTTTGCTTACGTATCTTTTTTTTTTTATGTGCTTTTCTCCAAATCAGGATGAAGACTTTTTTAGTTTCGTATCCATTATAATAATCTAATGCTTTGTCATGATTTGCCTAGGTTGGTCATCACCCATGTTCCGATTTGTTGTTATATAAACAAATGAGTGCACTTGGTACTGGTACATGTGGATACTAATAATTACCGGTCTTTAAAAATCCGGCTCGGCCATCGACTCAGTTGAGGTTAGGGATCACGGAGTCATGGGTTCAACCGGGAGGTCACGGGATCACTATGCTGATCCAGTTTTATATATCAAAAATAAATAAATATATATATCCTATATGAAAATATTAAAAAACAAACCATCAATCATCAAAGATTCAAAATATACTTAACATAATTCAGCAATTACAACCACAAGTCAATATTACACAACCAAATTAAAGTACCAAGATATCAAAGTACAAAACTCATATTCTAATGGGGTCACTACGCTGACCCGATTCTGCCTCTTTTGAGAAGGTCTCCGACAAAGAAAAATTTAAAGGAAGTAAGAATGAGTTTTGTTTTCCATATACGACCGTAAGGATTTCATTTGAATGGGTAAAATTCTTATCTTTTCTAGAAGATTCACGGCAGCGAGGTGAAGATTGAAAATGTCTAGGTCACTAGGAGAGAAGAGAACGATTAGATTTAGGTTTGCAAACATTCTTATTTTATTTTTTTAATAAAATCATGAATTATTTTTTAAAAAAAAAAAAACATGCAGTGACCTCCTTTGACCCCTCTGACCGGAAAGTGACTGAAACCCGACCAGGTTTTGGGGGTCAGAGAGGTCGATATATATATAAGGTCCAACTTGTTATCCCAACCCTCAGAGGGGAGGGGTCAGGATTGACCCGGGTCAACCCGAGGGTGGAGCGGAGTTTTAAAACATGATAATTAGTTAATGAAATGATGCTGCCTAGGAGCTAGGGCCATCACTGAACAAGCGGCAATTGGCTGAAGATGACTCGGAAAAAAGATTAAAAAGGTAAAAACCAAGGGTGACATGTACCAAAAAAACAAAACAAGGGTGATAAAAACAGTGCATTGACAATGTTTAGTATTATAACCATCTCTGAATCTCCGCTGATTAGTAAATGGGGAATATATTTGACATGTATATAACACACACACAAAATGAGTGAGATTTATTTTATTTTATTTTATTTTTTTCTTAGTGGGTCCTATCTGTTTTTTTATGTTTTGCATGAAAAAATAATTTTTTCATTAAATAAATATGGGAAAGGTTACAGTTACTACTTTTTTTTCTTACTATTTGTTACTACTAAATCGTAACCGTTAATTTCCGCTAATCTAACGATTATAATTTATTGGGTCACATTTATTAATTAATTATTAATTTTAATAAATTATAACCGTTAGATTGACGTAAAACAATGGTTAAGATTTGGTAGTAACAAGTAGTAAGAAAAAAAAGTAGTAACTATAACCTCTCCCGATAAATATATGTATTTATCTCAAACCCACTACGCAAACTTGGAAATATTCTTTCTGATATAATGGAAATAATTAAAAGAATTTAAATTTTTTTATCATATTATTCTATTTACTTCAATAAAAAGTTATTAATTTTATATCAACAAAATATTAATTTCTAGTTTTTATTTAATAATTTTTATTTTGATATTTTTTAAAATATTCATTGATCGTTAACAATTTCTTTTTTTTGAATAAACTGCACGTATTTTTTATGAGAGATAATTCTATTCGAATCGAGAATATTCATATCATAATGAGATTAACTCTACCAAAGAGAATTTTTTCCAACAATTGCTCTTAATACATATAGTCATGAAAAAAACACTACACAAAAACTTTTAAGACGTTATCTTCCAAAATTAAATGCTCTTATATATTACCATATCATTTTGTTTTATAAAATTATAAATTCTACGAAAGGATATTCATCAAATGATAAAAGAAATATTAAAAACCCTTACTCGGGACTAGTCTCATTCATAGCTGGTTCAAAGAGTTAAAGCTTATGAGAATACTCGATGCTGACTTACCTCAAAAAATAATTAACATCGATATAAAACAATATATATGTCAAAATGCAACCATTATTTCAAATAATGGTAATTCAGTTGACGCATAAAAGCTGAATAGGTGAGAGTGAGAGTATGTGTTCGATTTTTTCCAGTATCATATTTGGGAGAGATTTAAAGACTTAATCTTGTACCCACCCAAAAATTAAATTGTCTCTCACAAAAAGCACATGTGATTTATAAAATAAAAATAAAAAAAGGCCAACCACTATGGTAACTTTTTATTTGCTACTCGGTTGTAATGGGCTCATTGAGTTGCCATATCATTTGTGAATGCCATACGAAAGTAAACTTGTCGAGTTGTGGTAATTAGCATTCCCCCTTATTAATATTATATAAGATATACCATTAGTAAAATATATAAATTAAATAATTATAATATTATTTTACTAATGATATATTTTTATTTCATGTATATTAATAATATTTACATAAATTATACTAGTTTTTTGAAAATTATTATATAAGATAATATAATAAATATTTTTTGTAATATATGATATATTTTTCAAAAAACTAAAATATAATTAAGATTGAGTTAAAACATTATTTTATAAAATAAAAATAGATAATAACCAAAATTATTGTGTGTGTCTTGGGAATGGATCCTCTTATGTTAAAATACATGATTTGATCGTGTAAAATTTTTGTGTCTATCTATTCTTTCTTTAATAATAATTGCACCCCACTTATTTAATGCAAGTGAAGAGAGAGAGACACACAAAAATTTCACATACCAGGTAAGGTAATGTGAAATGATCTACTCCCATGTTTCTTACACATATTTGATTAAAATGTAAAATAAATATAATAATTATTTATTTAAATTGTGTTTCTAAATTTAAAAAATAAGTATAAATATTGTTTAAATAAAATAAATAAATAATATAATGATTAAACTTAAAATACAAATCTTTATATTCTAATTTATATGATCATACGTGTCTTTAATACTTTTAGTCAAATATCAATTTTAAAATATTTTGATTATATATTATTTCTGCATAAAATAAGTTAACTTAAATATATACTAAATATTTATATTAAAACAACTCGTATGTAATATAACTAACTTTAAATAATATCTCGTGACACTGTCACTGGGGTCCATGCATTTTATTGTCAAATGTCAATAACAATCCCATACGTCTCTGCCACCAAAGTTTGCATGATAGGGAAGATACCTTTGCTTTAATAAGGGCAGAATCACAAGCAAGATTTTTGATTGGTTACTCTTTCAGAGAATATGTCATTTTTATTACTATATTGAATTACATGGGCAACGTACAGAGTAACAGATTTGTTAAGCCATGCACATTTTTATTACATTATTATAATAAATATAAATATGTATAAATGTAAAATTTTAATTTTAAAATATTTTGTGAAACACAACTTTTATTTTGAGTTAAAATCATCTTTGATAATAATAAATACAAAAAGAAAACTTAAGTTTTCAAAATAATTCTAATTTTACTTTTTTATGAATCAAGAATTTTTTTAATTATTTTAAAATCTACTTCAAATTTTTTTGTTAAAATTAGATTTGTATAAATGTATGACAGACACAAGTGTTAAATTAAATCTTAGCCTTTAAAAGATATAGTTTTTCCAAGAAAATTAAAAATTATTAGAAAAGTCAAGGTCGTAGAAAGAAAGAAAGAAAGTGATAATTCTGAAAAAGCACTTTGAAACAGCACTCTATTCTGATCGAAGGTTTCTTTGCTAGCAAACAGTTTGACCCAAGTCAGGATTTTAATCAATGAAACACAAGTTGAGAGAATATTGTTGCAGTCCGTCAATTTGATGAGAGAAATAAATTATTTAGGATTAAATCTATATCAGGATTAAATTTAAAGTAATTTTTGAACTAAGCAAAATTAAAGAACTTTAATTTTATTTTCTAAGATATTATTCTTAGACTTGAACCAAACAATTTCTAAGAATAAGTATAAGTACATGGGGATTAGTATTTCTTATATTATAAGAAATAATTTTTTTATATATATATATAAAAAAATATGTGTGGCTTATTTATTTTTTTGTTCTCTTTTCAATTCAAATAACTTTACATGGACCATACTTACTTTTTCTTATAACATAAAAAATATTAATATGAAGGAGATGTTATAGTTACTATTTATTACTACTAAATCTTAACAGTTGATTTTTGTCAATCTAAAGGTTGTAATTTATTAAGTCATACTTATTAATTAATTATTAATTTTCAATAAATTATCACCGTTAGATTGACAGAAATCAACGGTTAAGATTTGATAGTAAAAAATAAAAAAAAATAGTAACTATAATCTGTCGCGTATAAGTATACAAGGAAAGATATTCTTACTACCAAAATTTTCTACTACCAACTCACTACCTATCTAATCACCATTAGATCAATATTTTTTCTTTTTTTAAAAAAAATTAATATTCTCTCTCTTTGATTCAATGGTGATTAGATAAGTAATAAGTTACTAATAAAAAATTTTGATGTTAAGAATATTTTACCATAAATGTTTCGGAAAGGATGAGTCACGCCAGTTACCAGTCACCTGATTCAGCAATCCGAGGTGTTTGGACTAAAACTTTCACTTCGTTAGTCCAGTCCAGGTCCCTTTTTCTTTTGGTTAGGACCCAATCCAGGTTCGATACGATGAGGTTTTCTCTTAACTTTTTCTCTTCGAATTGCAGGCCCACAACAACTGCATTATATGTAACTTTTTTTTTTTTGATGAGTTATGTACTTATTTTCTCAAGACACGCTGTATGAACTTTATTCAAACTTGATACAATTATAGAAACTGGCATGAGGGTATGGTATACCATACCCCAGTGAAATTTCAATGAAGTACAAAATTAGGGTGAGGGATGTAAATGGATTGTGGGGGTCTATTTTTACCTGATTTGGTAAAAATAGGCTTGGGCCATTAAAATATCTCTTTATAAATCAAGCCACAAATATTTTTTTAGATATCTAACCTCTCAAGTGTTTGCTCGTATTTTTAAATAAAATAATATTAATACAAATGAAAAATATTACAACACAATTTTTTTTTTAATATATAAATTTGATTTTCTTAAAATATATTAAATGTAAATTTAAATTAATTCATTAAAATATAATAAATATGAATCCAAATAACTTTAAAACACACACTAAATTAAGTGTCAACTGTATAATATATATTTAATGTAAGAATACAAATTAAATTTGGTGTTTTAAGTATAATAAAAATTTAAATAAATGTTGATATTATAAAAATTTATTTGTTATGTGCGCGAACGATATAAAATTTTAATTTACTTTAAATTAAATCAAAATTTAATTTTATAATAAAAAATAATTCAATATAATTTTATTTTTTATTTTTGACAATATAATTAAATTGTTAATATTTTGGGTTGTGATCTCAGTTATCATATTATTTTGACTTTTTATCAACTCAAACATACAAAATAAATAAAGTAATCATAAATATGCTATATTTTTTTTTGAAGGTTTGATATAGTAGACCAAGTCTTGTAATATTTTTAAAAATAAGCCAAATTTAACCTACAATTTAACTTGTATTAAGTTAATAAGTCAAAAAGTTTAAAATATTTTATATAGATCTACATAGCTTTAGATTTTTTTTTTTTATATATAACAACATAATTTAGATTTTGGTCATTCGGTAGTGTAACCTGTGCAGCTGTGCTAAAAGGGACTTTTTGATGGCTTTTTATTTTGGGTACTGACATGTTCAAACGGGGTTGATTTCTCAGGAATCATTTTCTACTTTATGGTTTTCAAATTTTGACATTATCTATAATATAATCCGTTACAAATGGAATTAATCTTCACCCTCACTCAGCTTTATTTCTGCTGATGAGAAAAGTTGCAGCAAATTTTTAACACTAGGATACACGTCTGGATCCTAGGATACACTTTTTCTCTTCTACAGTCACATAACAAGTACTTCCCCCTGTCAAATAATAGTATTCAATCTTTAGCTCTGTCTTTGGAGTGAAGGTATTCAACACTTTCGGTCCCACACAAACTAAAAACATAAAATCAAATGTAGAGTATCACCAAATAGTTATTGATGTAGGTTACTTTTAAATCACGTTTGTCCGTTAAATCTTAACCCAGCTTGACACTATCACACCGAAATTCTTGCTTGTCATCACAGAATTTGAATTACTTTTATGTTTGAAATCTTTTATAATTAAAACCAATTCGACCGTTATGTCTACTTCATCAACAAAAACAGGGTCTCCTCTGTTTTACTCCCCTGCATCTACCATAACTTTCATCACCAGAAAGTGAAGCTATAACAACAATGGTAGAAGATTATGGGTTCACCCCAGAGGAGATGACCATCGATGAAAATCTTGGGTACCCAAAAGCCTACAGAAAGCTCTGCCGTGACAGGGGTTTTGGTCCCTACAGCTATGGCCCTCCCTTCACTTTCATGCCTTATGCTTTGCAGGAAGATGAGGTAAGCAAATGGATCTATCTCTTTCATCCTTTGCTTGGTTTTATGGCAAAGAAGAAGACTTTTAAGGAAAATGAGTTCTGGGTCATGCTAATTGATAAACTTGGTTTGATGGGGCGGTGTCAATTGAGTTCAACTATGTAATATTCTTGTAATCCTGTATCTGGATTTTTTTTTTGTTTTTTTTTTGAGGTGATGTTTAGGCTGAGAGAACAAGGAATTTGGATCAAATGTTTCCTATTATTGATCCAAAAGCTAAGCCAACTACCAAGCCTAAGATCTTTGTCAGAGTCTTGTGGAATCAACTCAGCCATCTTGGGTACACACTTCAATTTAGCATGAACAAGTTTTAGACATTTTAATAAAGATAAAAATGAATGTGATGTTTGTTAATTTTCAAAATTTCAGGAATGCTGGCTTTGACCCAGCGGTGATTCGAGTAGATGCTTATGGCAATGTCCTTTATCATCATGCGGATTCAGCTTCTCCACTGAATTGGGGCATTGATCATTGGTTTCCTTGTTCAAGTAATATATGTATATATATATGTCTATTTCACCAAGATAGACCCTTCTAATATTGAGTATAACAAGTGCATCACACTATAATATTGCTTAAACATGCAGGGGGAGGATTGACTGTTGTGAGCAATCTGAGGATTCTACAGCGGCAAGCCTGCAAGAGGAAGAACAATAAGCTGGAATTCTTAATCCCCTGGTGGGATTTTCAGTTTGGTATCTCAGTAAATCAGTTCCTGTCCATATTTGCATCTTCAAACTCAGACTTCAGGTTCATTTTTATTTTTTTTATTTTTTTATTTTTTGTTTCCATTCCATAAGACATTAAATTAGGATGGGTGATGATGATATTTGTAGCTGCAAATGACAGGCACAGAGCATTTTCATTTCTGTTCTCTGAAGGAGAAAATCATGAGTTGAATAGTTCACAAATAGTGGATTCTCATTCTTTTCCACAACATTTCTTTGGATTAAAAGAAGAAATTGGCTTTGCTCCAGCTGCCATCATAGGATCTCGAAGGGAAACATACGATACATTAGCTTTAAGACAAGAAGATTACAATAGGAAGCCAAGGCCAATACCTAAACCAGTTGGTTAGTGCATGATAATCAAACGAAGTTTGAATTTGCTTGCAATTTATTTCTATTGATTTGAATATATATATATATATATATATATATATATATATATATAGAGAGAGAGAGAGAGAGAGAGAGAGAGAGAGAGAGATTTTACATCTGACCAAGCCCTTTTGTTTGATGTTTTGTAGCAGCTTCAAGAAAAAGCAAGTGCAATCTTTTGAAAGAAAATGAGGATCCAGAATTTGATAAAAACCCTTACCAAGCCATTCTCATGGCTAGAGATTCCCTAAAGCAAAGAGAAGAAAACACAAGAGTGCAAGCAGAAATACAGAAGCTAGATAATGAAATGAATGAAATGAAGCTCACTAATGAAGAAGAAAAACAGATTCTTCAGGACCTGGAATTGGTGCTCATAAAAAGTAGGAGAAAGGCAGAAAAGTGCAGGCGGTTAGAGGAGGCTCAATGTTCTTATAGGACCATGCTAGAGAAGATGATTAGAGACACTACTCACCAGTAAGATCAGTGATCAAAACTGAAATTTCTTTCTTTCTTTTTGTTTTGGTTTTCTTTGGACTGTTGACAACTTGTTTATGATTTATTTTTGGTGTAGGAGTGTCATTTATAAGGAACAGGTAAGATTGAACCAGGCTGCAATTAATGCATTGATGGCTAGACTTGAAGCACAGAAGGCAATTTGTGATGCTGCAGAGAAAGAGCTTCACAAGAAGTATAAACAAAGAGATGAATTAGAGAAAGAGATAAGACCTGAATGGGAGCAAGGAAGAAAGAGATTGAGAATAGATGATGGTTCCACTTTTGAAGAGGGAGAAATAAAATCTGTTCTGTGTTTGGAGGAGCTCAGAGTGCTTTTGGAGGAAGATCAAAGGGCAAAAGAAGAAGAAAAGGAAGAGGAACAGAAAATAACAGCAGATAACATTACAGCAGAGAAACTTGAGGGGCATAATAACCAATCAGTTGTTGCTTTGGAGGAAGAAAACTCAATTGAACACAAACTTAAGAAGCTAGAAATCAGTGAAGGTAAGAGGGTTTGTGGCAAATCTTTCCCAGTTCTTTCAGAAACAGAAACTGAGGAAGATGAAGAAAACAGGAAGCTACTTGGCAAAGGGAATGTGGAGAAGTGGCTTCAAATGCTTTTGGAGAATAATAGTCATGAAGACAAGGATCCACAAACAAACAAAACTGAAACAAGTGGGACTGAAGAAATAATCAAACAATGGAATCAGAAATATCCACAACAGGAGCTGAAGATCTCAAAATTTTTAGATTTGGAAGAAGTTGCTTGCATAGGTGAAGGGGTGAAAAGGAAGGAACAGCATAAAAAGGGAAAGAGGCTTTTTAGGTCAGAGAGTGCAAGGGCCTTGAGGCGAATCACATCATCTCCATCTTTGCTAATTGGGATAAGGAAAGGTGTGGACAGATTTAGAAAGGTGTTGTATTGATGATTGTAGTTATTTGAAGCTTTTTTTCCACCCTTTTACATATTTACAAGTGATGCTAGATGAATAAGTGGGTGAAATTTATCATTTAAATTAAAGAGAGAGAACAAGTGTATAAAATATTGGCTTTTTATTGTTTGATTTTGTGTACAAGGTTTTCTAGCTTTCAAATATGTGATAACAGCTTGTTGTCTTTTACTTTCCTTCTCTGCCTTGTACTAGATATTTGAAAATTCTCACAAATAAGGCACTAAAGTATTCCTCTTTCTTACATAATAATGCCCTCCCTGCTTTGAAGTTCTCTAATGTCAACAAGTACTTGCAAGAGAATACAAAATTCTGTAGATAGAATTCCTGGTTTACTAGTAAAACAAATTCCTTTCAAAAAAAAAAGTAGAACAAATTCCACGTCATAAAGTCTTAAGAAAAATCTAATACATTCAGAATCTGATGAAAAGATAATATGTTCTTGTATAATAATAAAGATTCATGTCATTTAATTAAATTTGTCATAAAAACATTTACTTGTTTGATAAATATCAGTGCCTCTATCAAAGAGAACCATCATAATTTTGGCTGACTTTTCTTAACCCATATCTAATCAAATTGAACCGTGGAAATCAAGAATCTACTACATCCACAACCGTTTTACCTTACTAGTATGAAATTAGACAACATCAAAAACTTAAATTAATACCGCAGCACCATGGAATTTAGCATATACATTACTTACATCCTACAAAATTCTATTTGTATAACTTAATGGATTCTAGGTTACAATGTGATCCTGGATCAGAGGAGCAGACATATCCTGATTCTATTTTTCTTTTTTTTGAAGGGGGGAGGGGGGCATAAAAATTGTTGTTGACAAGAAATTACACTTGGTCAACGAATAAACTATGTGCAATATAAAACATAACAGCCTTTTATTTTCTTTCTCTGCATAGCATGTTGTGTATGTTATGTGGTTGATCAATGATTCTTAGCCCAATGACTCTAGTAACCTTCATCCATGCAAGAACAGATGCCTCCCTTGAAATGATGAAACTGTTCAGCATCCCTTACAGAAATCTCTCTGCGCACCTCCTTAGAGATAAATCTAACAATGTTGTGACAACTTTGACACACATATAGATTCTTCGTCACCCAAATAGGCATCCCAGGGGAAGAATTAATAAGTGCAAAGGCAATGGCCAGTCTCTCACTGTGCCCACAAAATATATCAGCCTTAGAAGTTTCCATTATGTTCATATGACTACTCTGTGGTCCTTCAATACCAGCTTCCTTCATCTTCTCATAAAATCGCTCCAAAACTGCAGTTATTTCCTTCATTTGAGGGTGTAAGTTATCACCACTGAGAAAAGCATGCACTGTGCCCTTGACTTCCACCCAGCTGCATCCAGGGTCTACTATTAGTCCATTCTGTCTTATCATTTTCCTTACTTTTGCAACTTTGTCCCATTTACCGTTGTTAGCATATAGGTTAGAAAGAAGAATGTAATAGCCAACACTTGTTCTATCATCTTGAAAGATGTTCTCTGCTGCAAGTTCCCCAAGCTCAACATTATGGTGGATCCTGCATGCATTTAGCAAGGCTCCCCAAACTGCTGGGTCTGGTTTCATTGGCATTTTCTGTATGAAACCATAAGCATCCTCTAATTTCCCAGCACGGCCCAGTAAATCAACTACACATGCATAGTGTTTCAGATTAGGTGCAATAGAGTACTTATCTTTCATACTTTTAAAATATTCTAAGCCTTCTACCACCATACCAGATCTGCTGCAAGCACATAATATGGAGATAAATGTAATTTCATCAGGATAGACGTTTGACTCTACCATTCTCTGAAAAAGCTCAGTAGCAAGTGCTCCTTTCCCGCGTTCAGCATATCCTGTTAGCAAAATGTTCCATGCTGCAACATCTTGATTACCTGAGGAAAATTGTTTCCACGCATATTCCATTCTTCCACACCTTACATACATGTCCAAAATTGCATTGGGCAGAAAACCATCAAAACTTACTCCAGTTCTCAAAGCATGAGCATGGATCTCTTTTCCACATGTCAAAGCTCCTATTCTGGCACATGCAGAGAGGACACAAATTAAAGTAATAGAGTTGGGCTTTAGTCTAAGAATCATGTCCCTGAAGAAAAATAAGGCTTCCGAACACCGATTGTTGATCCGAAGGCCAAGGATAATAGATGTCCAAGTTATAATATTCTTGCCATGAGTAGAGTGGAAAACTTCTAAAGCCCTGTCAATGCATTTACACTTAGCATACATGTCAATGAGTGTGTTTGCAACCATAACATAAGAGATGAGCCCTGTCTGCTTGGCCACCTCATGAAGGTTCTTCCCCATATCTAAATTGCATAAACAAGAACAAGCAGATAGTACGATGGCTATGGTGATTTCATCTGGCATGACACCTTCATCTTCCATCATTTTATATGTCTCAAGAGCTTTCTGAGGCATCAAACTATTCTCGTAACCTGATATCATAGCAGTCCATGACACCACATCTCTACATTCTGTTTGAGAGAAAACTTTTTCAGCTTCCTTAATAAGTCCAACCGATGAATACATTGGAATTAACGAATTGCAAACTGAAGGGTCTCTCCCGAACTCTGTTCTCAGAACATAACCATGAATCTCCCTCCCCAATCTCTCATCACCCAGAAGTTCACATGCAGTAATCACACTGGTCAAGGTCTTTAAATCTGGATCAACCGGATATTCAAGCATCAAACAGAACAATCTCAGACCCTCCAAACACTCTCCATTTTCAAAATACCCAGAAATCATGGCATTCCAAGAAATTCTGTCTCTATTAGGCATTTTATCGAACACCAACCTAGCAGTATTGATATCCCCACATTTCACATACATGGTTATTAATGCATTAACCACATCCACATTTGACTCAAACCCATATCTCATAACATGCACATGGACCTCTCTGCCCCTCACCAGGTCAGGCATGCCACCACAAGTCCTCAAAACACAAGGAAAAGTGTAAACATCAGGCCTCACACCAACCCACAACATTCTATGATAGAGATCCATTGCCTCATCAAAGAACCCAGCTTTAGCATAGCCACCAACCAAAACATTCCAAGAGAACACACTCCTCTCCTCCATTCTCCCAAACACAAACCAAGCATCCACCATGTTCCCAAACCTCACAAACATGCTCAAAAGGGCATTCCCAACCTGAAGGCTCAAATGGGTCATGGACTTGGAAACATATGAGTAAACCCGAGACCCTTCCTTCCTTGCTCTCTTCCACTCACATAACCTTATTAAAGCAACGTAAGCATCTTCATTAACTGGAACTTGAAGCTCGTTCATGGAGTCTAAGTAGCTCATAGCACGGTCCAAGTTCCCATCAAGGCATAGCTGACAAATATCAGAGTTTGGGTTGTTGCTGCTGATGGTGGTGATGGCGGTGGCGGTGACAGAATTTGAGACCCAAATAGATTTAGAATTTCTGAGTCGGGGATGGAGGGTCTTCAAGTTATGGGTGAAAGTGAAAGTTTTGAGCTTTGAGTTGCAAGAACTGGTGGGAAGAATGGGATGGTCCCTTTGAGCATGGAGTTGAGAGGATTTAGCAAACGCCGCCATTGGAGTTACAAAGCATGAGAGGGTTTAACAGTTAAACGCGACAGTGTCAAATGTTAAGGCAAAGTGCAGAATCAATTGTTGTGTTACCGTGTCTCTTTCTCTCTACGTTCCGACCATAACCACCATCTTATCCATAATAACCATAACTTCGTGTCTCGCTATTAGCCGTGTGCTTAATTCATCATGCATAATAATCTAATTAATTGACGAGAAAATGTGTACTTAATCGAGTATTAAAATATAAGAACTCTACATTCATGCGATATTTGGTAGAGAAAAAAATTGTTTTGAAAATTACAATTACTGAAAATATGAGGGGAAAGATAGTTTTCTAGAAAAGTTAAAAAAAAAAAATTATTTGGTGAGCTGAAATATTACTGAAAAATTGGTATAAGTTTCTTGGATCTATATTTGATTGAATGTAAAATATTGCTAAGAAAATGGGGTGAAATTACAAAAGCAACCATTGACTTAATAATATTGCACAATACACGAATAGAGTTAGAAGATGGTCATTTTCGTTATTATAATACCCCTAACTTAAATAATTTAATTAATTACTTCAAATTAAGTAATTAAGCATGTATTAGTGAGTAAAATTAAGTATAGGGCCTAATTAAGTGAATTGAGGTCACTTTTGAGGTAAAAGTGTGCTCAGAGAAAATTAAGGGGTATAAATGGGTGCAGGAAAAAGTATCCAAAATATAAAAATAAAAATGAAAATATTTCTAGAAAAATATTCCAGACCTTTGGGTAAAGTTTGGTGGTAAATAGAGTTGAATAGATAGATGAGCTAATACCCGCTTAAAGCCACTTAACATATGTTAAGTGACCAAGCAACTAAGCAAAAGAAACCCACCCCATTTTTCCCCGAACCGTCGACTAAGTGAGAAGAGAAGGAGAGGAGGAGAAGAAGAGCAAGGGAAAGGGAGGAAACCCTAAAGCATGCAATCCTCAACCATTTTGAGTGATCCAAAAGCCTAAATCACTCCAAATGTTTCCCTCTTTCATAATCCAAGCTTGGTCTTGAGTGGGAAGCATTGTGGGATGAGATTTCTCCTTTCCAAAATTCGACCCTTTGATGATTTGAGGAGTTTGATGGCTTTTTCTACCATGGAAGCTTGAGGAACAACCATTCCATTGTTGTGTGATCATTGGTGGTGAGTTTCCATCCTTTTTCACTTGATTCCTTGAGATTTTCATGAGTTTAGGTTTTGATGAATAGTGTTTTAGGGTTTTATGTTAATGTGAGCAGATTGGCTATGTTCAAGGAAGAATGAGGCTTAGAGTATGTTGTGAAAAATGCTAGGAATGACATTTAATCGGTAGAAATGAGTTTATAGTGTTATTTTAGTATGCTTTGATGTTTGGAGAAATCTAGGCTTGGAACTATGGATTTCCTTGCACTGTTAGCATTGTTTGATTGTATTCTTTGTGTTGATAGGATTGAGGCAAGAGGACCAAGTGGAGTGACCAACCCTTGGGGTTGTGTGCAATTGAGGAAAGCTCAAGAGCAAGGTAAACCTTTGGACCTTGGGGTTGATCCCATTAAGTGTTCCACCATACTCCGTTGAGGAGAAATGGTTTATGAGATGTGATATGTAATTATGATAGTAATTGTATGCCCATGCATTGATTCATGCATTGATAAATGTTATGATTGATTAATTGATGTTTGATTATGTAAGAATGATTGAGGGATGGTTGTAGAGGTAGAAATAATGAAGGAGGTAATGGTTAAGGATTATGATGAGGATGATTGGTAGGAACTTCCCTTGGAAACAGCCCTATGTGGATCTCCATGTGGTTAGAGCCTAAGAGAAACAGCCCTATGTGGATCTCTCTTGGAGGTTCCTAGATTGAGGTTAGGGACTTCCCTTGGAAACAGCCCTATGCGGATCTCCAGGTGGTAAAAGCCTAAGAGAAACAGCCCTTAGTGGATCTCTCTTGGAAGTCCATGTGAAGTTGTGGATAAGAATGTGTTAAGCTGTTATGATTATGTGTGCATCGAAAGTGAACCTTAGGATGGAGTGATCTCCAAGGACCTCTGGTTTACTCTGATATATTCGTATATCTCACCCCGTGTTGTGGGGCATCATTTCAGGTATTGATAGAGGTGAGGTTGATCGAGGCAAGAAGCACGAGTAGATTGTACCTGATAGCTGGACATTTTGAGTTGCATGCCATTTAGAATTGCTATATGTATATTTTGATGACACATGATGTATTTTGGAGGACTTAGTGCATGATCATTGTAGTAGTAATGGGTATCTGATACATGGTTACTTGCTTTGATCATGTTCCTTTTGTAGCTAAGTCCTTTGGCATGTATATGAAATTTGTAAGAACAATGATGTAATTGAGACCTGATGATGTTGTAATGTTGTAATTAATGAAGATATATGTATGATGAAATGGTATGCATGCCTCTCTTAGTGTATGAGTACCTTGAAAGACTAGAACTCATGTATTGAAAGGATTATATGATGTCAATTAGGTGAAAGAAGACCTTTGGGTTGTAAATCCATGTAAAAATAAAGATATCTTATCTTGTGGTCCATATTTCATATCTTATATGATAGATTTGGACCCTTGTGTCTTAATGGAAGTTGTAGATCTTCTTCTTAGCTTTCCAATAAGACCAAGATTATACAAATAGAAGTAGTATAACTAAAGTTATGGATAAAATACCAAAGGAGGTCAAATTGCCCTGTGGAGGGGGCTTAAGCCTGAAAATGGAGGCTTAAGCTCGCTCAGGGGGCTTAAGCGCCTTGATGCACCTGTGATGGCCAAAAACTCTCTGCCGGTGGGCGCTTTAGCTCCCTGGAGCGCGCTTAAGCGCCATTGGTGGCCTAAAAATCTCATTTTCCTCTTCCTCTGCGAAAAACTGGGTCGTGGAGGGCGCTTAAGCGCGTAGCCCATTTTCAGCATACACATGATTTAGTAAAATTGGCATAACTCGAGCTACAGAGCTCCGAATTGAGTGAGGTTTGAACCTATGTGAAGCTAACACACAGAGCTATAACCCTGTAAAATATGAGAGCCATTGGATGAGTAAATCAATGTCAGTATAGGATTGAAGTTGATGCTCAAATTCTGAAAATTCGGTTTGCCAGCTAAGTTGTGAGTTTAATAACTCCGGCTATACTTAACCAAATGATTAATGTAATATCTTTCCAGAAAGCCTTAGATGTCTAGTTTATCATGATGAAATGGTAAAAGATAATTGTTAAGTGAAGTAGTCTCAGATTAGAATGTTACACGGTTATAATCACGGTTTCGTTTTAAAGAAAAAGGTAAACGAAAATGTTTAGTAAAAAGTTTACCGTAGTTTAACCAATCAATGTGATTGTAACTGCAATTAATATCATAAAGTAATGATAACAAACCGGTCCGGTAACGGGGTGTTACAGTTACCTACTTCGCGCTTCTTTTTCCATTTTGCCGGTAATCTCAAAATACCACCTTCGAGGTGGTATTCTTAAATAGTGTTTTTCATCACAATTTTCAAAGAAACGAGAAATAATGGGCAAAATCAGTTTACCGAGTGAATTTTATAAAAACTTGTACCAAACATGGACAACTTGGAATACCTTTCTCGCTTCCTGGGTATCTGCACAAAAAACTCCTATCGAACGCCCCCTCAAATCCTACTTTAAATCCTTATGGGGCGTCTGGTTGAGGAGAAATTTTTTGAATACTAGGAAAATGTAATTGTTAAGCAAATGGTTGAAAAGTGAGTTTGGTAGGAAAATGTAAAAAAAGTTGTTTGGTTGGCCAAAGTTTTACCGAGGAAATAGAGTTAAATTTTCTGAATATTTGTTTGGTTGAGGATAAAATAAAGATGGAGAAGTGGGTTGAAATGACAAAATTAATTCTTACACTTTATGGAATTTTGTAGTCTAGTGTACGGAATTTTTTGTTTGGCACTTTAGATTAGGGGTATTTTGGTTCAATGCATGTTGTCCTTTTTTTTCATTTACCTATCTAATTACAAATACCACCATCCAAGTGGTCTTTCCAAATTGTGATTTATTCCCCATTTTACACACATGCTTGAAATGCTAGGGAAATGTGTTAGATGGGGAAGTATTTCAAAAACTTTTGCCAAACATGGACATCCAAATTTACCAAAATGAGATGCATGGGGAAATAAAAATATAACTTGAACCAAACACCCCATTGATGCATTGATGATCTTTCCATGACTTGCATTCGAGCGTGGCTCTATTAATTTAAACTTTTCTAAAACTTTAATTGGTATAATGCTTCCATATTGCATTATACCAATTAAAACTTCAAGTATACATATAATACAAAAATATAAACATACTTAGCATTATATCAATTCTTATTGCATTTACATACACAATTATAAAATCACACTTCACGGAGTTTGGTGGAACAATTGAGGGATAAATTTCAAGGTCTGAAAGCTTACCTCATTGTAGTTTTTCGTTTTCTGTTATCTTTTCTATTTCAATGCAAACAACCACCTCTTCAACACAACAACAACCTAGTACACAATGTGTAAAGATGATTATTAACATATATTTCACACAAACACTTAGTTATTTGCTAGAATCTACACTTGCATTTTAAGCTCATGACTTACCTCTTTGGTAAAGAATTCAATAAGCTTGATTTTGGCTATATATTGAATCCAATGGTCGTTCTTCAACCTCTATGGTACTAGGATCAACTCTATATAACCATAACACGCAATCACCATCAATATTTCATTTCTAAGTTATAATTACCATAAAACTCAACACAATTTCATGACAATTTCTCAAAGTAGTCCAAATGGTGATTTCTTTGATTTTCCTTTTACGGAAACAAATACCTAACATGTTTAACAAAAAGACATATACAAAACAATCTCTAACTCATCAAACTATCCAAATTTCAAAATACACATGTCTGCAAAATTCAGATTTTCCAAAGTGAGCTAAGTGGTGATTTCTTTAGTTTTCCAATAATAAGAAGCAATTTCTAGCATATTTAACAAATGA